CATCATCATCATCATCATCATCATCATCATCATCATCATCATCATCAGCATCATCATCATCATCAGCCATCATCATCATCATCATCATCATTATCACATCATCATCAGCATCAGCATCATCATCATCATCATCATCATCATCATCATCATTATCATCAACGTCAGCATCAGCAGCAGCATCATCATCATCACTATCAACATCATCCGCATCATCAGCATCATCGTTATCACTATCATCACCATCATTAACATCATCATCATCAGCAGCAGCATCAGCATCATCATCATCATCGTCAGCATCAGCATCAGCATCAGCATCATCATCAGCATCAGCATCAGCATCATCATCATCATCATCACCATCAACATCATCATCATCACCATCATCATCATCACCACAAGCATCACCAGCATCATCATTAGCAGCAGCATCATCAGCATCAGCATCAGCATCATCATCACCATCACAATCATCATCAGCATCAGCAGCATAATCATCATCATCATCAGCATCATAATCATCATCAGAAGCAGCATCATCATCATCCTCATCAGCATCATCACCACCATCATCATGAGCATCAGCATCATCATCAGCAGCATCAGCATCAGCAGCATCATCATCAAAATCAGCATCATCATCATCATCGTCATCATCATCAGCATCATCATCATCATCATCAGCATCATCATCATCATCATCCCTCCTTCCTCCTCCTCCGCGTGTCGCCCCCCCTTCCCCTCCTTCTCCTCCTCCCCCTCCTCCTCCTCCTCCGCCTCCTCCTCCTCCTTACTCCTCCTCCTCCTCCGCCTCTCGCTCCCCCCCTCCCTCCTTCTCCTCTTCCCCCTCCTCCTCCTCCGCCTCCTCCTCCTTCTGCTCCTCCTCCTTCTGCCCTCTGACTGATAATCATCCCTCCTCCTCCTCCTCCTCCTCCTCCTCCTCTTCCTCCTCCTCCTCCTCCTTCTCCTCCTCCTCTTCCTGCTCCTCCTTCTCGTCCTCCTCTTCCTCCTCCTCCTCCTCCTCCTCCTCCTCCTCCGCCGCCGCCGCCGCCAACTCCTCCGTCTCCCCCTTTCTCCCTCAGAATCGTCTTCCCTCCCCCTCCGTCTGCTTAATCATCCCTCCCTCCCGTCTGCCTGTGGCTTCGTAGCGACGGAGAGGGAGGGGGAGTTTGGTGGCAACTCATGGGATGCTCCCATACCACCTTACCAGCTCTTGCGAACGGACGCGAATCGATGCCAATCGACGCTAATCTGGCGATACCTCATCGACTACCAAACGCTATAATCGACGCAGGTCGATGCTAAAGACGGAGTTGAGAGGGTATACCAAGCTCCCATGGTTTGCTACCGAGGCAGAGCCCAGACGGGACTCGGGGGCGTCCAGGAGTGGGGCGTCTCAGAAGGGGGACGCAAATCATGGCCGGCGGCATGTGCACGGCCTAGGGGGGGGGGGATCGGGGACGCAATGAAATGCAAAGAGGCGCCATGACATCTGGGGAGATATCATGGCCCCCGCCATGATATCCACCCCTCCTGGTCATCACCCCCCTCTTCGCCGCCCCCGAGGGAAAGGGCACTGGATCTCCGACTGGCCTCCTGCTGCTGGGCTAGGCGGCTCGCGACCGTGCAGTGTGCAGGCGCCCAGCCGCGTGGATCTGCCCGCCCCCCCCGTCGTGAGGCGGTGGCTCGGGCCCCACTCCCTCCCCACGCAAACGGGGAGGGGAGGAAGCCAGAAGGACCATTATCGGGTTGGGAGGATGGGGTTGGGATTAGGCCGGGCATGTCCCCCTGCAGGCGGATTGTGGACGAAAGATGAGGCATACCCCAGCAATATCCAAAAATAGTCGAACAATAATCGAAAATTGTGGTTCGACTATTTTTGAATATTCCTCCTGTAGAGGGACATGCCCGACCTAAGGCTTGGAGAAACGATCAGGTCATCCGTATTATCGCATGTGTCGAGCGTGCATATTTCACAGTCGCGATACTACGACACACTCGACATCCGCGATAATACGGATGATCTGATCGTCTCTCCCAAGCCCATCCTCCCAACCCCATGATTGTCTTCCGGAGGCATAGGAGCAATATACTGCATCAACACCAAAAATCGATGTCCCGCGCGGATTTCTCGGATCCGCGCTGGGCCCCCCCTCCTCTGGCGCGCGGAATGCGCCGACACCACGGCAAGTCCGCGGCAAATCCTGCGCTCCGCGCAGCATGTACACGAGGCCGGCGCTGCGGCAAACCCCACGGTAAACCCACCGCGCCCTAGGCGGCGCTTGCCCCGGTGGCCGAGGCGCCCTCCCCAAGGCGGCAGGCTGCGCGTCGGGACAAGCGGCGCGGCGACCATGGTTGAGTGATCTCTCCTCGATCCTCCCTCCTTCCTCCTCCCACTCCTCCTCCTCCTCCTCCTCCTCCTCCTCCTCCTCCTCATCCTCCTCCTCCTCTCCTCCTCCTCTCCTCCTCCTCCTCCTCCTTCTTCTCCTCCTCCTCCTTCCTCCCCCTCCTCCTCCTCCTTCCTCCTCCTCCTCCTCCTCCTCCCTCCTCCTCCCTCCTCCCTCCTCCTCCTGCTCGAGGGGAGCAGGGCTCCTGGCCTGCCGGAAGGCGACGCTCACTGGCCCCCCCTGCCCTGGGCGGCGCGACCGGGCCCAGGCCAGCCACGGCGCCAGCCGCTCATCCTGGGGCGCGCGCTGCCCCTCCCCTGCCACGGCCGCGCGGGGGGCCGCCCCGACCCCCGGAGCCCCTCCCCCTCATCACCACCCTGAGTCGCCTCCTCCTCCTCCTCCTCCTCCTCCTCCTCCTCCTCCTCCTCCTCCTCCTCCTCTGCACGAGGAACTATACGAGATATCAGTAGTGCTTCATGCAAACACAACACACTACGGGGGAGACAACACGCGCAAGTTGCGGCCTCCTCCGCCTCCTGCTCCTGCTCCTGCTCCTGCTCCTCCTCCTCCTCCTCCTCCTCCTGCTCCTCTTCCTCCTTCTCGCACCCCGTCTCTTCTTCTCCCCCTCCTCCTCATCTGAGGTGTTCGGACTCTCTCTGACATGTTCGCAGGTTCTGAGGTGGTTTCCAGGCTCCTGGAGGGTTCCTCAAAGCTCTCCGAGGTTCTCGCGGCCTTCGGATCTTCGCAATGATTATGAAAGTGTTTCGAAGGTGCTGGAACTTTTCGGACAGTTTCGGTCGGACGTTTTCGCAAGTCCCGAGGGTTCCCGAGGAACTCGGAAGAGGGAGGGGTGGGGATGAGGGCGGAGCAGTCGCAGCAGGAAAAGAGGAGGCAGAGGGCGTGGGATGGGATGTGGTGGGCAGGTGCGCCGAGAGGGCGGGCAGTCTCATAATATGAGCCCACGAGGCTCAAATCCCTCGAGTCCAGAAATGCTCGGGGGGTCGAGGGAGAAGGATGAGATATGTGAGGCATTGGGTAGAGGGAATGTGTGGAGCAGGAGGATGGAGCATAAATGCTCTGGACTTGCCTCGGGGCACCACCATCATGCAAATCCCTCCTGCTGTGGTTTGGCGCATGGGAGCCACAAGGAAGCCACAAGCAACCGTATTTGCTCCCGCTCGCCTTGCCAGCACAGAAGTGACACCCGAGACGCATCACGGGCATACGATGGCATTCTACTTACAACAACGGGTGGATAATGCTGCACGACGCGAACTTAACCATTTTTCCGGTTCCGTTATGTTTTCGGTTTCCCTGGTTATGTCCCCGTCGTCTTTGCTGCAACGGTCCACGAAATTGCCAACACACCGTTCAGCTCGCGCCATGTAATGTAGCTGGCGCGCGTAGGGTGACATGCGCACAACGCCAACGCTTTTGCGAAGACCCTGGCGGCGATTAGCTAATTGGGGGTGGCGTGTCGGACGTGTGGCAGTGTGCAGAGCACGTGCGTTAGAGAGACGCCACCGCGCCTACCAGGTGACCACTTTTGATGAGCGTGATGAGCACAACGAGCGCACAGTGGCTTCACCAGGGCTGGTCGGAGGGGTGAGACGCCAAGCGTAAACAAATCACCACAGCGTTCATGCCGACACCCTTGAGAGCATCCCCGTGATAAGGGAAGCATTGACTGTCTTCTGTGCGCGGCCTTCCTATATCATATTGTTCACGCACTTGAGATGGCGTGGAGGGGTGATTGACCCAAGTGTGCGGCCCCCACAAGTAGAGGTAAGACGGAGATCAGGCAATCGACAACAAACGGACGTGTAAGGAAGAGGGTCGCGAATGTGATCAAGACCCGTGACAGGAAACCACGAGCTGTCTTGCACACTCCCACCTGCCTTCCGAACCCTCGAGCAACAGGCGAAACTCAGCATGTGCACAGGTCGTAACCCCGCATGTGCTCAAATCGGATCCACACTGGAAGCAGATGTTCAGGGGAGCGCGGATCACGAAAGGCCCAGCGGCGTCGAACCAAGTCGAGTTTACGCGACGTGCACTCTGCACTCTGCTTCTCTGCTTGTATAATGGGTGGCAGTGGAAACGTTCTATTTGGTTCGTACACTTCAAGGAGAGTCGCTCGCGCTAGTGCTTGGACCCAGGCTCCACGTGCTGCGTGCGTTCCATTATCATTAACATGGCAAGGGGGGCCTAAACATACTCAGCTGGATATACGAACAAGAATATTATCCTTGAAGAAACCTGAGCCAGCTCCCCACACGTTTCTTACAGCAAGCCTGGGCCAATTCCTGTTGCTGACGTTCGAGAGGCGAGCGTGCTCATGAATCTGGGCCAACTTTCTGGCAGGTTGGTTAAGAAACGCCGGCCCAGCTCTTCGGGAGGAGGTCTCTTAATCGGACGCTCGACTGTAAGCCGTAATCGCGCTCGCGCTGGCACCCTGGCCCGCACTTCCTGGAGAAGGACGGCTGCTCGGCCTGACCAGGCCGCGCAGCGTGAGACACGGCGACGCCTTCGCGCCCCGGCGTGTGGCCAGACAGCCAGTCACCTGTGGAGGCCGCCCCGGCGCCCAGGCCTGCCCTCCATCCGAGCGGCCGCCTAGTGCGAGCGCAGCCACTCGATCCACGGCCCCGGCCGGCCGAAATCGAAGCCGTGCCGCTCCACGACCTCTGGGCCGAGAAGCGGCGCCCTGGACCAAGTCCAGTCGCGCCCGAAGTCTGCCTGCTGCCAGGCCCACGTGGAGCCAGGCGGATTCGCCGCCGACAGCACCAGCCCGCGGCGGCGCGCCAGGCCGGCCCACAGGGAGAAACTGCCCGGGGCGCGAACCAGCACTGGAGCGTGTACCAGCGCCGCGAAGTCGGCCTCCACTGCGTCCTCGGCGCCGGCGCCCAGCAGATCCTCCTCATGAGACATCTCGGTGGTGTTGAAATACCGCAGCACTCTCGCCTGGGGGAAGAGCCGTTGAAGGTGGCCCTCCAGCGCTGCGGCCACCTGCGCACAGGCGGGGCCGAACTTGCCGCCAAAGAGCAGGAAGCGCAGACCGCTCGCGTCCCGCCACGGTCTGGGAAGGTCCGCATACAGAGAGAAGGCGGCGAGAGGGTAGTTGACGTTGAACGCGGGGAAGCAGCGGAGGTGCACCGCCACGTCGCTGCTCCGGAGCCGGGCCAGCGCCGCGCCCTCTGCACCGCTCGCGCGGAGCGCGCTGTGCGTGTCCCGCTGGATGTCGCTGCGGATCCGGGACCACGCCCCAAAGCATGTGTGCGGGTAGCGCCACAGAAGCACCTCCCGCGGAGAGCAGGCCACGCACGCCTCAGCCAGGGCCGTGGAATTCCCGCCTGGCCGCGCGGGCACCACGCGGGGCAGGTGGCGGATGAAGTGCCGCGCGCTCAGGCCTCCTGTGGCGCTGAAGGGGACCCCAGCCAGCCGAGCCAGGCCCCGCGCGTTCCAGTATAGCGACAAGGCGTTCCCCACGCCCACCATCCTCGGCTACACGCAAGAGTGACCCTGCGCAAAGATGGCCTCTGGCGCGCGGCTCCAAGGGGCCGCGGGAAGGCCCAGATCCAAGCGCGCAGGATGGTGCCGTGGGGGACCCCTGCGGGCCCGCACCAGATGTCACTCTGGCGAAGGTCGGCGGCGAGCCCAGGGGGGACGTGACAGGGGGCAGGCCTTCTCAGAGGGCGGCGAGGCTTCTCAGAAGCCCTCGCGCCATCTGAAAAGTTTCATACGTCATCAGGGAAGGCTCAGCAAGCTTCTCAAAAGGCACGAGGCCTTCCGAGCCTCCTGAAAATGCCTGCCCCCTCTCACCTGCCCCCTGGGCACACCGCCCAGAAGGGCCACTCTTAAGCGCAGCCGACATCCCGACAGGGAACGGCCCCTCAACCCCTGGAGGCGCTGCTCGGAACCAGACGCGTGGCGCCGCGTGCGCGCCCGGACACGCGGCGCCCACCTCGGCCAGAGGACCCGGGCCGCCCGGCGAGGCCGCCGCGGCAGCGGGGGGCGCCTCGGGCCGAAGAGCCTGAGCGACGTCGTTGTAGACCTGGGGCGTGCCAGAAAGCATGACGAAACTAGGACGAGGATCAAATCTGGTAAGGATAAGTCGAGAACCTCTGAGATCCAGCGGATCTGGAGGATGTCTCGGGCGCCGCAGCCTTCTCAGAACGTTCCGGAACGTTCTGAGAGCGTTCCGGAACGCTCTGGAACGGATTGATCCTCTTCCCAGCCCCGCCCGAGCCTTGGATGTATCGATCGGGACGACCCGGCCTCCGCGGCGGAAGGCGGGTGGGAGGGCGGCGGAGGTGGTACGGGGGCGGCTCTGCCTGCAAGAGCTCGGGGGCGGCCAAGAGGGGGACATCCAAGAAGGGGAGGGCTCGCAAGTCATGGCCGGGGTCATGCGCGCGACGGGGAGGGGGGCAGGGGACGCAGTGGAGCAAGAAGAAGGGGGGTACGCCATCCAGGAGGTGTGAAAGCCCCGTTCATGAGATTCGCCTCCCCTAATCATCACCCCCCCCCTTGACGCCCCCGAAACAATCGCCCGGTTGAGAGATGCACACTTTGGAGGGCTCATGGTTCCTGGAACGGGACACCTGGGATAGTATACTCTTGTAGGACTCGAAGATGCGTGCCTCGCGCTCCTCCAGGCCCCACCCGCGGACGACGAGGTCCCAGGGCGCGTGCGGGAAGACCTCTCGGCCCAGCCAGCTCTTCAGCAGCCCGTACTTCAGCTGCGCCAGCCCCGCCTCCTGCAGGTCCGCGGCCGGGTCCGGGCCCCGCATGGCCAGCAGCACGGACTCCACGTGGCGGGCCAGCACGAGCAGCACCGCCTGGGGGCAGAACTCGGCCACCGTCCGCAGCAGGGCGCCCCGCCGCACCCAGCCGGCGATGGCGTCGGCCGGGGGGCCACCGTCGCCACGCAGCGCGTACAGCTGCCATCCTTCGACCTCTCCCCGGCTGCACAGCACCTCGTTCTCCCCCAGCGACTGGAAGTGAGAGGTGGAGGGCATGACGCTGAGGGCCAGCTCATTCAGCCCAGCGTCCACGCCTGGGGCCGACGCGTCCACGAGTCGGAGGGGGTAGCCTGAGGTCCACGCTTGTGTCTCGTCGACGGAAGCCGCGGGCGAGAACGTGACTGCCACCAGTTGCAGGCCAGCGGCAAATAGCCGGTGCATCGTACTTCACCTGACGAATCTACAAATACAACAATCTTCTCCAGATGCCGCGGCCGAGTGCCCGAAAAGGACATGCCCTAATCATACAGCGCCGCACCACTAAGCAATATCGTGAGCACCATGGCCTCGTGCTACTGAAAGAGGGCACCTCTCAAAGTCTTTCGCATGACACAAACTCCCGCGGAAACAAAACACTCTTGGCATCGAACCCAAGGTTTGAGCTGAAATCGCCTGAGCAAGCATCAAGACGAATCTTGACAGAGAGAGAGAGAGGATCAGAGAGAGGGAGAGAGAGAGAGAGAGAGAGACAGCGAGAGAGCGAGAGAGACGTTCATGTACTTAAATGTTCTTGTCTACATATTCTGATAAGGAAAGAGAGAGAGAGAGAGAGACAGACAGAGAGAGAGAGAGAAAGGAGGGGTAGCTATATATATATATATATATATATATACATAGATATGTAAGAAAACAACAAGTGATGGACGAAGTGTGAACGTAGGGATCCGCCGTCCCCGCCCTACCCCACGGGTGGCCAAGCGTGTGACATTCAAATCATTTGCTATGTTTCTCCGCCTGCCCTCGCTCTTGATGGGTCCCAAATCCCAACTAACAGGGAGGGTGATGTCGAAAACGAGGGCCGATTCGTCAACGAAATGGAACAAACTTCGAAGAGAAGGCGGTGGGATGTTGAGTGCGGCACTTCTGAGAAGATAATAAGGAAAAGGACCGTGATAGATGGCGGCTGATGTGAGCCCGAAAGTGGCCGAGCGGAGCCCCAGCGATGCCAATGTGGGGCAAGTCAAGCTTACCGAGAAAGCCACCGACCATTCCCACTTCCTGTTCATGAGATAACGCTTTATGATCGATTTGTTTCGCGAGGGCGACCGTTACCAGCCGCGCACCCCCCCTGGTAACGTCACGATTCGTGCCGGCACCGTCTGGGAATGCTGAGGAATAGCCAAGAAACCTCGACTATCAGATACCTATTGGGATCTGCTGTGGCAGGGCGCGCGCCATGCTATAGATATGCCAGGTCCTGCGATGGGTCGCTACGGATGACCAAACGCGACATAGGGAAGCAGTTTTGCTATATCCTCTTCCTTCCCTTTTCCGCCTCCCCCTCCCCTGTCTCCCTCCTCCTCCTCCTTGTCCTCTCGTCGTGCTCGTCCCCCACATGGAGCTGCAAGGTGCTTCGCGCAGGGACAGAAGAAAGAAGGAGGGAATCGAAAGGGAGGCCGGCGAGGCAGGCGGGGCCAGGCCTGTTTGATCCCACTTCTGTTGTCGGTTCGAGCTCCGGGAGGGGTCCGGGCCGGAGGGTGTGTGTGGCTTCGGCGTCGTCGACGTCCCCATCCCCGTCCTCTCCCTCGTGCTCCTCCTCCGATCATCCCATTCCTCCTCGTGGCGTTGCAGAGCGCTGCGCTGCAGAACACCGTGCGCACCACATCGCTGGAGCGCGCTGGGGGCGTGTGGGGAATAGCACAGGCCCACGAGATACACGTGGGGCCCTTCCATCTTAACCTTCACAACAGCGCAAAAACTCCATTTTCTTCATGATCGGACTACTGGTTTCTTGAGCAATCCTGGGATCTGGGAACACGCAGGCGGTTGGAATCACGTGCGGAACATGCAGAGGCCAGTTGCTGGATGCAAATGCGGTTGGCTGGCGCACTTAGCCACACGAGGGCCGAACCCTCCTCGGGGACCTCGAAAACCAAGTCCTCCAGGGCCGCCGTAGGCCAGCAGTCGCGGGCCCCCACGTCAGCGATATGGACCTCGACCTCCGCCGCGTAGCGCGCCGCGCCACGAGCCCGCGCCAGAAGCCCTCCAGGGCCAGCACCTCGTCATCAGCAGCTGCATGGAGGCCAGCCCCCTGCCTGGCCCGAAGGTCGGCCAAGCGGTTGCCGTCGCGCTCCAAGGCCGCGGCCCCCCGCGCCTGACCGACTCTTCGGGCGCGCGGACTGGGATGCGCCGGGTCGTGGCCCCCTCCGCGGCGCCCCCCGCGCGGGCCCACGGGTGGGCATGCATGGAGGTGGGGCCCTGCGCCCTCTGGATGTCACGGATGAGGTCCACCGTCCTCTTACAGTCACAGAGAATCTCGCAGGGGCCGGCGACGTCCGTCAGAGCAACCACCGCCGCGATGTCTCCGCCAGCCCGCGCCGTCTGAGATGGGGGCTCCAGTGGCGACACCGCTTCCCGTGCTCGGGCGATCACGCGACCCTCCGCCGCCATCGCAATGACGGCGCAGCCCGCGCTGCGCAAGGAGGAGAAGGCGCCATGCGCGCAGGAGCCATCGACGAAGACCATCGCGCCCTCTGGAGCCACAAGCGGTTTCTCCCAGTCGACACGCTGCCATTCTCAGTCCTTCTGCCACCGTGGTCTCGGGGCCAGGGCCGATGCATCGACGGAAAGGCCCCAGGCAAACAGCTCGCCGAACGTCGCGACCATGCCTCGAGCCACTCCAGCCGCCAGCCGCAGCTCGGGGGGCTGCCTGTCCCGACGCCGGGCCTGCCACGCAGGGCGCTCAAAGTGCCCGTGGTAGACCGTGCCTGCGTCGGCCTGGCAGAAGAGGCACATGGGGCCGATGCCCTCCTTTCGCCTGGCGGGCCTGGTTTGGGGCCAGTGCTCCAGGGGGACTAGCCAGCGCAAGTGGCCCTTGTGGTGGCTGGTCCAGGTCTTCGTCGCAGCCTTGCCCAGGAGCTCGTTGATGGGCCTCCAGGCGGGCGGCAGCCTCCAAGGCCACAGCGCCACGGGCCTCGCGCGAGGCCCCATCCAGCGCCGCCGCCTTCCCGGTCGCCTCGCGGGCCCTCTCCGCCAGGAAGCAGGGGCGAGAAGCGGCGCGCGTCGAACTCGCAGCCCAGCTCGTCCCGCACGAACGCCCCCCTCACCAACGAGTAGCCACCCGACGTGCTTCAGGGTGAGCGCCAGAGCCGAGACAAGGTCCCGCGCTGCCGCCCGCGACCGTTGGCAGCCCCCCAGTCGCCCGTTGTCCTCCAAGCAGGCCTTGACAGCCGCTGGGCAAGCCTGCTGAGCCCAGGTCGCGCTGCCGAAAGCGCGGGCCGCCACGCCCGTCGCGACGACCAGCGGGTCCTGCCTCCGGCCGCGGGGCGAGCACTGCAGCACATAGCTCAGCGCGGCTCCTGGCGGCTGGCGCCCAGCAGCCTTGGTCGCCGCCGCGCGGAGCGCCCGCGCGCGGCCTGGTGGCGCCCCTGAGGTCGCCGATCTCCAGAGCGCCTTGGCCGTCGGCGCAGCCCTCATCACGCGGGCCTGCCTCGGCCCTGGGACGAAGTGGCGCCGCAGGCGCTTCGCCTGGCACAGCGTCGCCAACTCCCTGGCCACCTGCGTCGTCGCACGACGGTGCCCGCCAGCCGTAGCGTCGCCGCCCAAGTATCTGTGGCCCTGCACGAAGGCGCCCGCGGGCAGCGGCCACCCAGCCTGCCCTGGAGGTCCCGCTGCAGGTCGGCAGACGAGGCGAGCACCTTCGTCTTGCCCCAGTAGATTGGCAGCCTCTTGCCCGTCAGCATGTCCACCACCCCTGAGGCGAACTGGGTCATCTGGCGCACGAAGATGCGCCTCGTGCCGATGTCGTGCCCAGCCACATCGTCGCCCACCTTGACCACCCGCCCGACAGGGAGGAGCGCGCGACCACGAAGCAGCAAGTCACACAGCATCAGCCGAGCCTGCGCGGTCGCGCAAGAGCACCCAGCAATCACCGAGCCTGCGGCGCTGAGCTCCTCGCTGATGGCGCCGCCCGCTGTGGCCCGCCTGGGCCCCGCGCTGGCCGCGCAGAGGGCCTTGACCGGCCCTGGGCAGAAACCGCGCTCCTCCGCCGCCTTCAGCAGCAGCTCGTGGTCGATCCGCTCGTAGAACTTGCTGGTGTCGAGATCGACCGAGGCGCCCTCGAACCCGCGGGGCCTGGCCAGCCCGAGGTGCAGGTTGTGCATGCAAGCCGCCCTGTCGCAGCTGGCGTCGGCGCTGCAACCCAGATCTCAGGCCGCGCGTGGTCGGCCCCCCATTTGGCGCAGTAGCACCTGCGGGTGCGCCCCAGAGCCGCAGCCAGAAGGCCATCCGACCTATGGGCCGCCAGCCTCCGTCGGACTTGCCCAGGAACACGATCAGCGTCGCGAAGAGGCCCGAGGGTCTGGGGCCGCGCCCCCAGGCCGCGAGCACTTCCGCCACTCGGTCCATGAACGGAGCCCCCGGCAACAGCAGCGGGTGGGACGCGTCCCATTTCAAGGCGGTCCTCAGCACCTCCGTGCCCGCGATGGTGGGCAGGTCCACGGTGGCCGCCCTGCGCGACGGGGGAGTTGGCGCACGGCCCCCGACGAGCTGCCCGGGCTCGCCGGGGGGCCCCCTGTCCAGCCATAGCCTCTTCCAGTCCAGCAGCATCTGGCCCAGCGCAGCCTGCTCCGCCGGCGTCGCGGGGGGGAGCTCGGCCGACCCCTCGCCCATTGCGGCAGGCAGCTCGGCATGCCCGCGCTCGCTGGCCGCGCGCGGCCCGCGGGCTCCAGCGCCCAGGGCGTCGCCCACGAACTCTTACCAGCGTCGGCGCGCCGACTGGGCGCCCGCTCTGGCCTGGTTGGTCGTGGCGACATCGATGGCCCCCATGGAAGCTGCCAGCACTCGTGGGCGCCTTCGCCCATCACCTTCTCTAACATCAGCCTCGTGCTCTCGCCCGAGGACGTCGAGCAGCGGCGCCGGGCGAAGTTCGGCGCCAGCGAGAAGACGGCCTCCTCCAGGCGCTGTACGAAGGCCCGATGCCCCGCCGCCGCCGAGGCAAGCTGCCGCGCAAGCCTGCCAAGCGAGATCCACCACCGCGCGAGGGGGCCACCTTCCGCGCCGTCTCCGTGCGCTGGCGGTCCTTCAGGCACTGCTTGACCCTGCGGACCCCTCGGGGCCGTCCTCGGCACTGAGCGCTGCTAGCCTCGATGCTGGGGAGTCCGATCAGATGCTGTCTGTCGCGTCGCGGAACTCCCGAACCGCCGGGCCGGGGAGGCCGCGCTCATCCGAGGGTGGCGCTGACCACTGGAGAGCTGCCGCCGCCGCCGCTCCTCGGGCCTTCGCCTCGGGCGCCGCAGCCGCCGCCAAGTCAAACCCCCGCGGCGCCTGCAGCACCCGAGCATGCGCCGCGGCCCCCAGCTTCTCGAGCGAGAGGCGGACGGGCACGTGCGGCTGCGTGGCGGCGGGCCTCAAGGCCACCACAGTGGGCCCGAGGGCCGCCAACGAGGTCGAGACCACGAAGAAGTCATACATTTTGTCCAGGCAGGTCGGAAGCTGGGCTTCCAGCGCCGCTCCTCCGATCGCACGTTGCCACCGCGGGCCTGCTAGCTCCTGCGGCTCCAGGTTCCAGTTGCCTCCGACGATGAAGGATCCCCTCAACTCCTTCAGGGGGGCCTGAAGAGCCCCAAGCAACTCTAGGTCCAGCCAGGAGAGCATGGCCGAGTACTCGAGGTAGGCGCAAACCACCACCGCCACAAGGTCTCCGAAAGCAGCTCTGCGTGCTCGGACCCTGGACGAGAGGTCGCCGCCCGAGTGCTGGTCCAGCTGCGCCGCGCCGCGGAAGCTGGCGGTCAGGATGCCCGCGCCCGAGGAGACTTCCTGCGCCTTCGGCCCCGTGCGCTTGCAGGGGCCGGCGCCGCCTGGAGCCCGTTGCGCTTGCACCAGCCATGCGCAGCGGAGACAGCCTCCTCGCCCAAGGACCTGGTCTCCTGCACCAGGAAGAGGTCATCCTGGGCCCCCTTGTCGCGAAGGTGCTCGATGCCCGTCCGAGTCTGGGCTCAGGAGGAGCCGTTGATGGTCACGATGCTCGCCGCTTTCAGCTCGCGGGGGACCAGCTCGGCAAGCGCCAGCACCTGAGCTCCAGCCAACGGGCCATCCCAACGTGGGCGAAAGGTGTCGCTGAGCTACTCCGACCGCGCCAACGGCGCTGCCTGGCACTGTGGCCAGAGGGCCAGCATCAGCAGCCGACGCCACCAGGTCTTGCACAGCGCCTGGCTGCACTCACAGCCACGGGCCCGCCGCAGGCGGCCGCCGCTGAGCCTGCCCGCGTTCGGCGGCTGGCTGTGCGGGTGGCCCCAGGTCGATGTCCGAGTCGGAGTCGATGTCCCCGCCGTCCAACAGGCAGGAGTCTCCCCACCTCTTCCGAGGCCGCGCCGTGGCTTCAGGCTCCTGCAGGACGAGCATCTCCTCTTCCGCTTGCAGCTGCTGCGTGGTGAGCTCCAATGCCCTGGCGAAGTTGCCTACCGAATGCGCCGTCGGGATCGTGCGCGTCTGCAGGAAGAGCCCAGGCACGGCCGTCAGAGACCCGCAGCCGCTCCTGACTCGCCTTGGCATTCGCAGCCTCTTCCTCCACCGCCGTGGGGTGGTCTTGCGCCTCCCTCTGGCAGAGTTCGGCATCCTCCAGCCTGTCGTGCGCCGCCTGCAGGGTCGCCTCCGCTTCAGAAGCCTCTGAGGTGGCTGCTGCAAGGGCCTTCCTCGCCCCCGCCGCCTTGCGCTCAGCCTTGCTGGCCGTGTTGGCTGCCTTGCGCAGCCTGGCCGCTGGCGACAGGCCCGCCTCCTTGTCTGCGGCCAACGCAGCTGCCGCCTCCTCCTTCTGAGCGCGCAGGTCGGCCAGCCGTTCCGCCACGAACTCATCGCCGCCACCGCCCGGGCTGGGGAAGGCCTCCAGGTGCTCGATGGCCCGCTGAAGCTCGCTCGGGACGGCCGCGCAGCCGCTGGCGAGGCCTTGCGACCCTTTCCTCCTCCTGATGTGGCGGGGCTGGCGGCAGCGGCAGCTGCAGCTGCGGCGCGTGCCTTACTGCGGCCCCGCTTGCACTTGCCAGCCTGGACGAAGCCGTCGGCGTTTGGCTCGGGCGGCTGGCTGGCCACGCGCCTGACCGCCCACGGGGGGGGGGGGGGCCTGGCATGACAGCCGAAGCACCGCGGGCGGGCGCAGTGTAAGGAACCCTAGGATAAGGAATCCAGGGTGTGGAGGCCGGTGGAACTCCAACCGAAGCTTGGCCATGGGTATCACCGCCACCCTCATCAGATAAGGAACCCTCCAGGGTCTGCAGCCTCCTGGGTGCATTCCTTAACCAACGCCCCCACCTCAGTCAGGATTTACCGAAGCCAGATGCGGGTACGAAGAAGGATGAGGGCACACGCCGCTACGCACTCGGTGGGCTCCGCTCTCGAGATTCTGGCGAACTCCTGCTGCCAACTGCGCGCTCCTGCCCGTCCCGCTCTGACTGCGGCAGGCCAGTCCTGCACGCAACCGCAGACCACGACCGCCGTGGCGTTGCCGCCGAACGCGTCGTCGTAGAGTGCGAGGTCTGCGGACGGCGGGAGCGAGCCGGGGCTCCGACCCCCGCCCCGGGCCATCCTGCCGGCCCTGGGCCACCGCCTGTGCGGAGGTGCCCTTGGCGGCGCCCTCCCCCCACCCCGAGGGATGGGCAGGACGAGGTGGCGGGCACGCGCTGGCGCCGTGGGCCGAAAGGATCAGCGCTGCTTGGCAAGAGGTGGGGAGGTAAGACGGGGCCAGGACGAGGATGAAATCGGGTGAGGATGAATCGAGAATCTCTGAGACCCAGTGAGGATAGATCGAGAATCTCTGAGACCCGGCGGCCCTGGAGGATGTCTCGGGCGCCGCGGCCCTCTCAGAGCGTTCCGGGTCGCTCTGAGACCCTTCCGGAACGCTCTGGAACGGATGCATCCTCGTCCTCACCCCGTCCGACCTTTGGCTCCGGGGTCCGCGCTGAAGGGCCCGCTGCCTCACAAGAGCGGCCAGACCGTCCGGGGCGGGGCCGCCGCTGGTCACGCTGCACGGCTTCGGCGCCGTGCACGCACTGGCAGCCTGCCAGGTCTGGGAGTCTTGGAGACTCCCTGGGGAGGAGCTGCTCCGAGCCGTTCCCTGTCGATCTCGGCAGGATTGCCAATGACGAGAAGCAGCGACCCCAGACATCTCGCCGCGTCATGATTTGGTCGTGGCGTTCTCACCTGGAGCTCTAGACCCCTTGCCTGGGACCGTCTGTTCATCTTTGGTCGATCTCGTTGACGATCCTGGGGCCAAGACAGGCACCCGAGGACCCACAATTAACTGAGGACGGAAAGGCCAATACTACTTGTCTCCTGACGCCAGAAGTCTTGGAGCACGGCTGAGCGGAAGCTGGCGGTGAGACCAGGGGGGAAGTGAGACGTGGCGGGTCTTCTCAGAAGGCTCGGAAGGCCCGCAGCCTTCAGAGAAGCTTCTTAAACCTTCCCCGAAAACCCCGAAAACCGATCAGAAGGCCCGAGGGCTCATGAGATACCCCGCCGCCTTCCGAGAAGGCCGTCTCCTCCGCACTTCCCCCCCCCTTGCTCGTCGCAAACAATCACTGAGGAAGAACCGCTGAAACTAGTTTTGCTCGTGGCGCCAGAAGTCTTGGTGCACGGTTGAACGGCAGGACGCCCTGGGTGGGGGGACGCGCACAAGGAGGTACATAGAGGGAGGGTGAAGGCTTCTTAGAAGGAGGCTTTTTCTTTTTCTTAGAAGGCACCGGCCTTACATCTGCAGATAAGGCCCGCGCCTTCTGAGAAGCAGGGGCGCTTCTAAAAGGTCTCCCCCTCTCCCCCCGTGCCCCCTGCTGCGAAGGCCTGCGAAGTGTGGGAAACCTGGAGCCACCACGAAAAACCCTCCTTTTCTGTGGTGGCACCAAATTTCCCACGATTCCGCACTGTGGGAAGCCCATCTCCGGACGACTGCCCCCTCCTGCGCGTGGCCGACCCCCTGGCGAGGGGCGCGAGCGGAGACGCCGCCCCCTCCTCTCGACTGCTGCCGCGGCGCTCGCGGCGCCTGCCGCCCGAGGCAGCCCCGTGCGACAGCGCAGCGGGGCCCCAACGCCAGAACTCCACGTCCTAATCCTCCTCCTCGTCCTCGTCCCCCTCCTCCTGCTGCTTCTCCTCCTCCTCCTCCTCCTCCTCCTCCTCCTCCTCCTCCTCCTCCTCCCCCTCCTCTTGCACCCCCTCGTCGTCTTCCTCCGCCTCCTCCTCCGCCTCCGTCTCCTCCTCTTCCCAAGTCGCCTCGAGACCTCGCGTTTCGCGCCGTGCGAAGCCCGAGTATCTACGCACCCTCGCACCGCCCCCTGGAGAGAGAGAGAGAGAGAGAGAGAGAGAGAAAGAGAGCCAGATGCACAATCTATATACACATGCATAAGCATATACGTAGTTATACATATACATATACATATACATACATATATATATATATTTATATATATATATATATGGAGACTGAGAGGGAGAAAGATAGAGCGACAGAGGGAGAGAGAGAGAGAGACCTTTCACGCTAAGGCTGCGGGTGACCAAATCGCCCTGCGGAGGACGAGGGATACGAGGAGGGGGTGGCTTCGACGAGCTCGCTCTTGGAGGGGCTGGAAGCTTTCAGCTGTTTCGAAAGCATTACGAGCTCTTCAGGGGGATGTAGGAAGTCCAAGAGAGAATGTGATAAGAATGACAAGGGAAGAAGAAGGGAAGAAGGCGAGGACAGCCCCCCTCGCGGCAATAATGCAAAATGCTGGTGCAACAACGGGGAGCCCCTTGAGCGCTACCCGGGGGCGTAAAGCTCCCCAAACCATCGGCGACTGCCGAACATTTAATACACACGACGGCACCAACTACCTACACGAATGATCAAATAAACCGCGTTGCCTGCAACATTCTGCAATTAAGTAAGGTGGGACAGCGAATGAGGGGTGCGGGGCACAAGCAAACGCGAGACGACGATGACGAAGCCGACGATGGAGCATGAACCCCGAGAGCGGCATCAACACAGTACTCACGAACGCGTGCCCTGATCCAGGCGCGCGCTGGCAAGACTCGCACCGATGCCCAACGCGAGCGGAGCGGAGCAAAAACCAGAGAACATGTAGAGAAACCAAAGGCCAACGTAGAGAACATGTAGAGAACATGCAGGGGCAGGGCAACTACAGGCCCGACGTGCAGGTGAGCAACGAGAGACAGTCAAGCCTGCGGCTACGGAAGATATCGGCGTGAACGGCACTCATGCAGGCTCGCCAAGGCCTGCAGCACTGTCGCGGCAGGGCGCAGCGGAGCCCTGGAGTGGCCTGGACACCTTGGGAATAGTCACTACTCGCAAAAGGCCTGGATCCGCCGCGGGGGATCTACGATAAACTACTTCGAAGCAGACATATGTTTTTTTTTCGGACGTTAGCGAGTAGGCACTTTGCGAGTAGTGGAACGCGCTCGGCGAAGGAAGGCGACAGACAACAGCATGCCCGCGGCGTCACAGCCAAGACGGGGTCGCGGCGACATGCGGCCGCCATGGGGACCAGCAGGGTACGCAAGCAAGAACAACACGAACACCCACCTTGCAAATTGAAAAGAGAAAAGGTAGGAAAGCAAGAAGAGCAGCCTCATCATATGGCTCGCCACCGGCAGCGCCACCCTCCGACCTTGTCCTTGAGGGTCTAAATAGAAGCCGATATCTTGGGTAATGGTAATAAGCGTAGTCGTCGCTGTGGTGGTGGCAGAGTCCATACCGGTCATGGCAAGTGTGGTGCCGGTTTCGGCGAAACGGTAGCAGCGCAATGCTAATAGCGGCCCTCGTAATAGAAGTGGTACTGGGTCTAAGTGGTTGCCGTCCTTCTCCTCAGGAATCCTATGCTGCCATATTTCTATCGTGGATGACCAGGTCGTATTGCTGCACGTCGCACTGGGTAACACTTGCTGCTCAATGACGCGGTGCTCGTCGCATTGCCCTTGCCAGTCGTGACAGGCCCAATCGGGCTGCCGCTGAATGTCGTGATTCTGTCCGCCCGCGTGGTGTTCATTGGCGTGGTGCCCGTAGGATTGGTCGGCTGCACAAATTCGCTGAGCACCCCGCTCACCCGTAGCTGGGTTGCGTCTGCAACCGCAGCGTTGGGTGTGCGCCGAAGCCTGCGCCGCGCCGAGAGGGCGCGGGCGCCGCGAGACCTCGGTGCCGGTCGCAGCACGACCCAGCAACGGGCGAGAAACGAAGTGGGCACGGGCGGGTCAAATCCCGAGCCCGGGGCGCGCGCCCCAGGCACACACAAACCTGTGGTACCTGCGCGCGCCGCGGCGGGCAGCGGCCGCGCGCGGGGACGCGCGGGCCTGCCCACATCGCCCGCGTCCGCCGCGCGCGCCTGGGGCCAGCGAGTGCGTGCGATGGAACCAGGGGCCGAACTCGTTCCATACACGCAAATTCGCTGAGCACCCCGCTTACCCGTAGCTGGGTTGCGTCTGCAACCACGGCGTTGGGCGCGCGCCGAAGCCTGCGCCGCGCCGAGAGGGCGCGGGCGCCACGAGGCCTCGGTGCTGGTCGCAGCACGACCCAATGCAACGATGCGACCAGCGCCGTGCGCCGCTCACCCGTTGCGCACGCGGAGCGCGGCGCTCGGGCGCGCGCCGGGATGTCGCAGCCACGCTAGGTGTCTGAGCTGCTGTCAGAGCTGTCCGAGCAGTCGGACGCGGCGTTGCGCGCGGCCGCTACCCTCTCACTTTCGACCCCCTCTCACTTTCGACCCGGACGCGGTCGATGTAAGCCAGGTAGGCGTTCGACGCCCAGCCTCCACGTTCCTTCGTTACTGCGGTCGGTGCACCCGCGCGATCGATGTCATCGGCGTGCCCCCTTGTGCGCGCGAGAGGGGCGGAGGGGTGTGCGCGCCGAGTCGCGCGGGCGGTCGCGGGTCGCGACCTTCGTATGTCGTGGGTGCCGAATAGGTTGGCACTGTCCACGCCTATCCTGGACAATAGGGACCGAAGGATACGCCGGGCATCCGACCCTGAGAACTGCGCGAACGGCTGAGCGCCTACTGCTGTGCCGCGCAGCAACGGAGGCAGCGCGTGCACGGCGCACGTCGCGGCGTTCGCGCGGCACCAACACCTCCGGCGGAGCATCGACGCGCACGGCTTGTTCTTCCGCCTTGGCAACCAGAGGAGTGCCTCGTCTGCCGATATGGCCAACTCCGCCTAGCGCGTTCGGCGCGTGCGCGGGCGCCCCAGCGCGCGCGCTTCCAGACGGCGCGGCCCGCCGCGCGGCCGCGCGACAGAGTGTTGCCGCACCACCGGATGGGTAAACACTCGGATGGTAGGAGAAGCAGGAATCTGTACGTAATTAGAAACATGGTGGATGCCACCTGCGCGACCGCTGGGTTGACTGGCGAATGCCGCGCGGCGGCCCCGCCTTTTCTTCTTCGCTGCGACCACGTAGGCCAAGTAATTGCGCAATCATAGCGTCACGAACGAAGCGCGGTTCGCGTGGCGTGTGTTCGCCGCGCCGCACGCTGGCTGCCTTGGCCTTCCTGGGCGCGCGACG